AGGGCTCATGCACGCGCACTATGATGAAGACATGCTGGAAGTGTGAGCGGATGGTGCGGGGTGTGAAGGGCTGTGCGCCTGGCTCCTGGAAGATGATTGTGACAATGTCGTTGCCAATGTGACGCTTCCGTAGCAACTACAACCAGAGAGATGGTGTTACTGCGGCGACGGGGAAGGGCAGGATCTGAGCTGGGCATGGGGTGGGGATGGAAATCAGGATGGGAACCCCTCCCCCCCCCCGTTTCCAGGTCACCCACCCCTGCCCTCCTTTCCTGAGCTGCCTGGACTCTCGATCACTCCCAGATTCTCTTCTTGCACCCTCTGGATTCCTCCTTCCCAGAAATCCTTCCCTCTGCACCCCTGGTGAAAACCAGCACCCTCTCCCCTGTGCCAGCCCCATCCCAGTGCCCTGCCCCCACCCCTCACCTGCTGGCGGTTGTTGGGCGTGTAGGGAAGCATAGTGGAGACGTGGAACATGATCTCATAGTCCTGGTACGTGGTGTACAGTGAGTGGGTGCCCGTGGAGTCAGCTGGGGGAGACACAGGATGGGAGATGTCAGTGGGATGGGGAGTGGGGGCATTATTGGGGCAGGGAGAGACAGGGACTCAGCAGGAGGTAGCAGGGAAAGCCCTTGACTGGGTCGAGTGGAGAATGCAGTCCCCTCCTTCAGAGCCTCCCCACCCCCTGCTGCCAATGTGTCCCCCTGCCCTGGAGTGCGGGAGGGACTCTTTAAGACCAGGCTCCCCACCTCATGGGGTGGGCTGGAGGCTGGCAGAGGGCAGCCTGCTATGACAGCTCCCCAATGTGTCTACTGGTGCCAAATGGCAGGGGCAGCTGCCAATGCAGTCCAGTCCGCTTTCAGCCCTCAGCCCTCCTGGCCCCTTTCCCAGTAGCCCAACCCCACTCCTGTTCCCCTCCCCCAAGGTCTGGCCTTGTATGGTGCCCACCCAATATTGCCTTGCGCCTCCCCCTAGATTGCCTCCTTTCCTGGGTCTCACCCTCCCTTCCACAGAGTTTAAAGCCAGAGGGGACAATTGTGCTCTTCTAGTCTGACCTCCGGTATAACACTGGACCGCCCCTCCAAAAATCCTGGTTGAACTAGAGTGGATCAGCCATCGAGGCTGGAAAATGAACTAGAAAAACAGTCATCGAGACTGGAAAATGTCCAAGGGTGGAGAATCCATCACAGCCCTGGGGAAGCTGTGACAGCAGTTACTGACTCTCACTGTTAACGGACTGTTAACAGTGCCTTAGTTCCAGTCCAAATGGGTCTAGCTTCAACTTCCAGCCACAGGGTTGTGTTCGACCTTTGTCAGCTGGACTGAAGAGCCTCTGTTACCCCAGCTCTGTTCCCTGTGTAGGTGTTTAGGGACAGTGACCAGGTCACCTGTTCAACTTCTCTTTGATAAGCTGAGGAGATTGAGGTCCTGGAGTCTCTCACTGTAAGGCAGGTTTTCCAACTCCTCAATCATTCTTGGGGCTCTTCTCTGACCCTTCTCCAATTTATCCACATTCTTTGTGATGCTGACGTGCGGGCCCCTGCACTGGACATGGACCTCGAGCGGCGGGCACAGCGGTGCCAGATACAGGGGTAACAGAACCTCCCCACTCCTAGAGATTCCCCTGTTTATCCATCCAAGGATCATGTTAGCCCTTTGGCCGCAGCTTGGCACTGGGAGATCCTGTTCAGCAGGTTAGCCCCTCCACACACCCCCGCCCCAGTCCTTTTCAGAGTTGTTCCTTCCCGAGACAGAGTCCCCCATGCTGCGAGCATGGCTGGCCTTCTACATGTATCTGTTTACAGTTACCACCCCCGGTGCCCCCTCCCCACACTCACTCTTGGTGTCAAGCTGGGCACGGTACTTGGTGAAGCCGCGCAGCTGGACGTGCTGGCCCAGCAGCTCCAGGAACTCCTGGAATGGGGGGCCAGCCCCCTCGTTGTTGTACATCTCCTCCTCGGAGCCCTGCCCCGCCCGGCAGTACAGAACTCCCACCTTGCGCTGGAAACTCACCTGCGGAGGGGCACAGTGAGGGGAACATGGGACCAGCTGATACAACATCCCCAAACTGCCCCGATTCAACCCCCCCAACACAGCAACCCCCAATGGGACCCCTGACTCAACCCCTCAAAATATCCCACCCCCGCAACACAGCAACCCCTGATGGGACCCCTATCTCAACCCCCAAAATTGCCCCAATTCAATCCCCCAACACAGAAACCCTCAATGGGACCCCTAACTCAACTCCCCAAAATACCCTGACCCCCCAACACAGCAACCCCAGTAGGACCCCTACACCCCCAAAATACCCTGACCCCCCCAACACAGCAATCCCTGATGGGACCCCTAACTCAACCCCTCAAACTGCCCCAATCTCACCCCCAATGTAGCATCCCTGATGGGATCATTGATCCAACCCCACAACTGCCGAGACCTCTCAACACAGTGACCCCTGATGGCCCCCTGAGCTGACCCCCTCAAAGTGCTCAAGCCCCCCGACCCAAGCCCCCGACAGAAGACCTTGATCCAACTCCCCAGAACAACCCTTCTGGACCCCCCATTCCCCAACCACCCTGATCTAACTCTTCCTGAACTTCCCCTCCCACAGAGCCTGCCTTCCCTTCTTGCCCCCAACTCAGGGCCGGCTCTGGCTTTTTTGCCGCTCTAAGCAAAAAAGCCCCTCCCCCTCCCCCCCCACGTGGCAGGGGAGGGCGCCGAGCCCAGCCGCAGGCCTGCAATCCCCGACCAGCCAGAGCGCCGGGAGGAGGGCGGAGAGCCCAACCGGGGCTCTCCGCTCTCCCCGGCGGCCAGAGTGCCGGGAGCAGGGCGGA